GTGATCCCTCGTCGTGCCCCTACAAGCATCCCACATCAAAGCCTTGTCACAACGGCGCCGACTGCGCTGTCGAGGGCTGCAAGTTTGGACACAGTGCCATCATGTGCAAGTTCAACCCGTGTCTTAACGCACGCTGCTTGTATAAGCATGAGCCTGGTCAGAAGAAGATCACTACAAATAAATGGGTCGCCCCCAAGGAGGGAGAACACGTTAGCGAGAGGAAATTTGTTGACGACGAGCAAAAAGAGGAGTTGATTATTCCGGGCAAGGACGAGGAGATGCAACAGGCACCGGCGAACGAGGGCCTGGACGTGCAGGCATAGAAGGATCCTGAGCTATTTTACTGGGACGTAGGTGGTGGATATGATACCATTGAGATGACGGGCAGGTGATGTTAGGTGGAACGTAGAGCATTGTATTATAGTCTGGATCTGCTGGACGAGGCGTTAGGGTTGGAGGCATGGCCCCAACGAGGAGGAGAGAGAATTACTTGTTTCTGGCGGCCCGCGTTGGCTGCGCTCTTCTTCTTACATATTCGCATCCTCTTACGCGTGACATTTGTGACTTTCTGACATGTCCCCTGGATGTACCCGCTGTTTTGCAACGATTACTCACCAGGCAAAGTGCTGCACGCATTTGCAGTCATGCATCTACCATGTGTTCTTGATATAGTAGGACTACGAAATACTGTAATAGCTGCGAAGCCGACTATATGCATGATCACGGATAACACGGTACCACAAGCCTTGGGAGTATAGCGATTCGCGCTCACGGTGGACTATCGAATGGAGACTATTCCGAACAAGGCTTAGCCCATCCGCCACGTTTGCTCAGCCACCCTCTTTCGTACGCCGCGACATCTGGTGTGTGATCAACTCCGCATTCTACTTGTACTTCTGACCACTTTGTCGCTCCTTCCTTTTACTCCAGTAAACCTTGCCTTCCCTACTTACCCTTCATTCCTTCCTTCTTCACACTTTTCCCGGAGGATCGCCATTCACACCTGGCACAACCCCCCAACAAAGTTCGATCGACAGCTGGAAGAGATTACCCAGCCTTGCCGCCCAGTAAACGACGTAACAGTCTTTTTGCCTTCCGAGGAGTCCATCACACTTACACCACACTCTCTGTAATCCTCGCAAACTACCAACATGTCTAAACCATACGTACGTCTGCCTCGCATCCGCTAGCGTCTCATGTCGCAATGCGCGCGACATTCCCATCTCCTATCCAATCCAGTCGCAACCACAACCACGTGCTAACCCTCTCTCAGGACCAAGGCGCACCACCCGCCTATCCCCCACCAGCGCACCAAGATGCTGGCCCAGCCCCCGGCGGCATGCAGCCCTCATACTACAACCAAGGCGGCGCCCAACCCGACTACTACGGCGGCAGCCCGAACCCCTACCAACAAGGCCAGCCTGGCCCCTACGGACCGCCACAGGGCCAGTATGGTCCTCCTCAAGGACAATACGGACCTCCCCAAGGAGGATACAACGGCCAGCAGATGCAGTACCAGCAGGGCCCACCGCCCCCGGGCGGCTACTACCAGGACGACAGGAGGGCTGATGGCGGTGGTGGCGGTCTATTTGCGGGATTGTGCGCTGGTTTGGCGTGCTGCTGTTGCTTGGACTGCTTGTTCTAGACGCGTTGTCGAAACAAGCAAGGCTGGATGGGATGATGGAGATGGGACGCGCAAGAGGCGGCATACCAGATGGAGCAATTTGGCTTTTTGACCGCCGGAGATGCGTATACCATGCGAAGACGGATCGAGAAGACGAGGAATCCGCGTACAAGCTATAGACCGAGGTTTCTTTTGTTCACACTGGGGTCTCTTTGGATATGACTGATTATCGATTTGGAGGCATATCGAGGAGTGCTGCCAGCTATCAACTTACCTAATTCGACGATTTCTTTCTCGGAATTCCGCTCGTACTTGTTCCTGTTTCGAACGCCCATAGTTATGGTTATTGGCTGATTGTACAGGTATTTGCGTTCGAGGACTGTTTGCCAGCACGCCGAGTGCGGCGACTTGAACGAACGTCGTGTTTGCGTGCCACGCAAGTAAAGTCCGAGGTGCCATCATTCACCCCAATGCGCCAATGCGCACTCTTGGAGTCGAGCGAAATGCAATTGATTGCTGCCACGCAAGCACCGATGTACACTCACCTTCGGCCCTTAGTTTCTCAACTACAACCGCACGATTCCCTGGACTTACTCTAGAAAGGCTGTGAAGCATCGCCGCTACGGGTATATAGATAAGTTTCTGACGACAGCTCGGTCACCGACATCGGATCGCCTGACCGGCGCTCCCTCACCGTACTGAGGGGGCTAGACGAGGACGTTGGCAGGCGTGGAAGTTGTGAATCAACAAACATCTCTCATCACATCTTTCTTCACATCTTGAGAACTTCACCGCTGCAGAGTTGAGACATGGCGGACAACAACAACCCCTCAGGGTACACTCCTCCTGCTCCTGATGCCGTTTCCGCTTCCGATATACCATCGCCAGCATCTCCCACCATGGACCTGCCTGGATATGTACCGCCTGTATATGAAGTATGTGAAATTTTACCATGTTGTTTGCTGCAGATCAGCTAACTAGCTCAGATATCTAAACAGTGCCAGGAAGAAGCAGAAGGGACAATGTACCCAGACCAGCCCGACAATCCGAATAACGAGCACAAATGGCTGTACTGCGAGAACCACAGCGGGGACACTCTTGGATATTTTGGATGCGTCTGTGATAAGACACAAGAGTTTGGCCGCAACCAGTACTTCTCCGCAGATTGCATATTGAGGGAATTGGTCGGTGACGACAAAAGAAGGCGTGCGTACCGTGCCCCCGCCCCAAGGAAAGTAGAAAATGAGTGAGAGAGCTAACCCACAACCGGCTAGTATTTCTTAAGCAGTACTCTTCAGGCTGTATTGGTAAGACCTTGATCGATCTCACTGGAGCCTGGGCTCAGTACAATCCGCATATCCCAGTCTCCACTTCTACCACTGCGCAGTCCACCACCACCACGAGCTCTCAACCTAGTACGTCTACTCAACCGAGTACACTGACTCAGGCCACAAGCGCGACCACTTCTGCGGCGTCCTCGAAGACTACTACGACGCGACTCACCACTACAATCACCAATTCGACAGCTACAGTCATGCCAACTCCGACGGGTCCGGCCGATGGGCAGATACCAATCTGCGGAGTATGCGCCACCGTTTGCACCCTTCGACACACTCGCTAACACATACTAGATCCCACAGAAATGCATGACGACAAAGCCACAGGGCGAGGCGTTATGTGTCATGGGCGATCTAGACTGCATCTGCAAGGCCAGCAACTCACTTGAACACAACACAGAGTTCAACCAGCAGTGCGTTCTCGACGCTTGCTATGGTGACATTGGCAGAGAAGGTAAGTCGTATTCTGTGAAGTACAACTTAACGTCGTTCACCACTAACTTCGCTACAGAGTTCCTTGATAGTCTCTTTTACCACTGCAAGAAGGTAGACAAGGAGCTCACCGACATACCGAAACGATGGGAGCCCTACCTTCCAGCCACATTCCCTTCCGCACCCGACTCGACGACTAGTGACCCCAAGAATCCTGCGCCTGCTCCAGCCGGTGTCAAGCTCAACGTCCAATCCATTGTGGGAATTGTCATCGGCGCCCTTCTCGTCCTTGCTATAGTTTTCGCATTGCTGTGGCTCTGGTGGAAGAAAAAGAGGGAGGCCAAGAAGCTGCGCGTCGAAAACGCTCAGATGCTAGACGCTATGAACCCTGACGGCGTGTCTAGGAGGATCAATACCTTAATGAGCGACTCATCAATACGTCACTTCTCAGATCGCCAGGAGATCGACAGTACAGGCTCCGACGCCGCAGCATCAAGGCACGGTACCGCATCCACCTACAACGACGCGACACTCGTCGGCTCACCGCGGAGCACGACTGTCTTCCCCCTCAGCCCTACAACCCCTAAGAGCCCAATTCCTGAGTACGGTACAGCCGACGAAGACTGCGCCATGTCGACGTTCGTCCGGTACCCCGGTCATAAGCCATACAATGACGGCCAGTTCGAGCTACCCAACAACCAGCTTCGCGGCAGTCAAGTCATGCAGGGCCAGCGCAATACGCAAGATGACTCAGCGAGCGAGTACAGTGCACGCCGGCCTAGCTACGGCGATGACTCCATCGACATTCGGCAAGACAGGGAATCGCGGGCACAGTTTGAACGGGTGCAGCGGGCTGAGTGGGAGAGAGATGGGGATCTGGAGCCACGCCACAACCGGGGAGGTGCGTTTTGAGATTGCGTGTTTTGGGTTTCATTGATATCTCCTCGTTTCTACCGGTGAACTGCTTCGGAATATATCCTTGCGACTCGTGTAGCAGCTCCTGCGGATGCCCGTTGGGCGACGAGCTAGGTTTAGGCTTATCTCCGTTGACCAAGTCGTACGGGACTAGGCGGTGCATGCGAACCGGTAGTACAGAACAATCTCAAGTGCGGCTTTTATGTGGCTAGCCGTTTGCCAAGTGCCGTTGAGATTGTTTATGTTGGTGTTTTGTGTGAGTTGAGGTAGGGCATGTGCTCTGATTGGGCAGTGGAGAAGGTCAGAGGTGAGAGAGCAATCGCGGGCGTTTGCACTTAAAAGCGAGTAAGGCTGAATCTCTTCTGCTCTTGATGGGCTTCTTCTTCTTCGACTCGATCTAGCCATCAACGCTTACGTTCGACATGATACTTTACGTGCTATTCTTGCTGATCAGCATCGTCGCGGCGCAAGCGCGTGATCAATTCTGTGTGCCTCCGAAGCCACCACTACCGCTTCCTGACTGTACTGTAAGTTGCTTGTACTGGCCATGCAGCTATTCTGGTAAACTATGTCACTGACACTGGTGCCAGAGGCAATGTCTCGTCGGCGAGGGCAAGTTTCTCGATGGCAATTGCGCCGATAACCTCGCTGGCTTTTGTAGCCTTCCAGACGTTATCCCCATACACTTCAACATGTTTGGTCCGTGTATTCTCGGTGCATGTCCAAGCTTGACGGACCGACAAGGTAAGTCTCGAATGTGCGCGACACACTTGATCCAGACATACTAATAAGAGACCGCAGACTATGTGAATCTATTCTTCGCAGCGTGCGAGGATAAAAACGTCAGATTCATATCTAGCGAAGACTATTTCAACTACAAGGACTTGCTCAAGGACACAACATCGAGTAGTACTGCGAAAATTACTGTAACTGTGCTATCATCTACCAGTGATCCACACGCGTCAACAAAATCGGGAGGAGATGCACCCATTGATTCTACGGATAGTACCATCACTGGAGTCCCAGTAACATCGGTCGCTACTTCTACAGACACAGGACAATTGGCAGACGCATCTTCCCAGCCATCACTGTCAGCGTCTCCAACGCCATCGAGCTCCACAACAGAAGGGGGAACGACATCAGTTGGGCCAGCGCCGCTCCCGAACGACACTGGTCTCGCGGAATCTACGTCGAAGGGGCAAAATGGCGTGACTGTCCACTCGCATGTCACTATCACTGCAACCTCGAAAGCCGCACCTCAATCTACCGCCACTGCCGCTGCTGCGCCTACACTCAGTACCACCGCTATCGCTGGTACAGCAGCAGGCGGTACCGTAGGTATTGCGCTCATCATCGGCCTCATATTCCTCTTTATGCGCCGTCGCAAACGCCAATCTTCACTGGCGTCTCCAGCAGATATATGGGAGCCCTCTCGCAACACCAGCCCGAAGCCTAAATTGCCAAATATCCAGGATGATTCGAGCTTCGGTCGATACTCGGAGATGGGAGCCGGTGTACCGATGCGCCAACGCTCGAAAGCCGAGCTACACAGCGAGGATATATCAGTGCCACGTCCCCAAACAGGCTACTTCAGACCCCCAGAGATGCATAGTGAAGGCAGCGAAAACGCGCGATACTATAGTTCAGCACAGCTACCTGAACCGCATCGTCATGGAAGCAACATGGAGTCTCGATACCCTGAGCTGAGTTCACACGCCGTGACTAGCCTATCATCACCCACATCGCCCATCTCTCAAATTTCAACAATGCAAGGCTGGCATGCAAATTCGCCTTCCGGCGGTCCGACTATCAGAATGAGCAGCACTGATCTCCGTAGCGAGGGAGTGAGAAGTCCCGTCAGCGAACTTGGCACGAATGCACCTCTACGCTCTACACGCTCGGCTGAACTGCATGGTGCGGGGACCCTGAGTCCAATGAGTGAGCTTGGTACTGATAGCTTTCATGGTGCGGGTCATGGAGCGGCTGAGTTGCACAATGAACCTCTACTTCCGCCGCAGCTTGATGCAAGAATTCAAGGAAACGTGCCGGATGGCGTCGCGGAGATGGAGGATTTGAATATGCATAGAGGCGATCGGCCTGGGGTTTCTACGAACTTCTGATCATTTGGCGCTTGAGCTAGACTGGAAGTTTTCAAGCAGATGGTGTACGATTATAGGGAATTAGTAATGAAAAGCAAGATTGCATGGCAAGTTTACTTCCCCACAATCCAATCGGGCATTTGACCTCAAGTCGTAAGGTTTTGTTGGGTTTCTTGTCATACTCTCTAATTTAAACGCATGTATAGACAAGGATATGGCCAGTAAGGATCTTGACTGTAGCGCTGGGGAAGATTCAACTCACCGGCGCGGTGTACGAACATGCATCCCTGTTGCAGTGCCACGTTAGTGTAACGATCCGTGGGTGACAGCCGCCTTATTGGATCGTGAAACAATGTCAATGTTGTCGCAAGGCAGAATCTTTACAGCTCAGCGTGAAAAGAACGCAATAAAGTCCGGCATAGGATCGAGAAACGCGTTTACATAGTTGGCTTGCTCGGAAAAGCGTGGGGGGGAGGTATCGAGCAATCCAGCAATCTACAGGGCACTTCCAATACTCCTCACTGAGCCTACAGTCTCACCGTCTCTCTCTCCGATACGTGAAGCTTCCATCAACATTCCATGCAGGTTTCCGTTAGTGTAAGTATTGACGGGTCGGTCGTTCAGCCCTATCGGGCATTCTCTCAGCTCGTTGGGAGATTAGAAAGCGCTGGGACCGGCCTCTTCGTGGCTATGTACTGATATACATGTACAAAGTGACTTGTTTGGAAAGAGAGCCGCATGTTATCCCAAAAGATTGTTGCTTCCCACGAGAAGTTGTGTAAACAGTGAGTTTCAATAAGCGAGCTCTGTATGTTGTGTACGTTGAGACAGAATATTGGGGAGACCTTTGACCATGTCGAAATGGAAATCGTAAGAGGATACCGTGCGCAAAAGCCTCTGAGTCTACGGATAAAAGCACGCTGTAGCTCTGGGCGTACTGACAGCTCAAACCCATACACCCAAACGCTCAGCTAGCCTCAAAAACACCAAACAGTTGACACGCATTAGCTCAAAAACTTTGTAAGTGAGTGCTTCCTCGTTTTCAGTCCATAGCCATGACGACTAACACCAAAGACCACAGCAATCCAACCCAACCCAATCATGGCAACCACAACACTCGCTACCTCTATTGTCGCAACCTCCGCTTCACCCGCAGAAAGCGCCACTTCCACCAATCCCAACGAGTATGTCTACTTCGGCGTTCACGGCAAAGCCATCATGATCGGCCTCGCAGCCACAGTTGCGCTTCTCTTCTTCATCCTCGTCTGCATGGCGTGCTGCTGGCCTAAAGAGAAGAAGCGCAACGACCAAGGAGGCTATGTGACGACGACTTATTGGAACGGCGCTGGGAAGAAGGGGAGATGCTGTTAGATCGGATGATAATGGTATGGGATTGGAGGTTGAGCGATAGCGCGGCTGGTCGGAAGGGTACGATGTGAATGCGGTGGTCTTCGAGATAAAATGAGGTGCCAATACTATACACTGCGATACAAATAATACAGCTTGTTGAACTGAAGTGACTACTAAGCGACATCTTGAAGAAATAGGGAGGTTAATGCCCGTCAGCCCACCAGGCCTCCACCAACACCCCATCGGTAAACTAAGGATCATAGGACGTGTGCAAGCAGCGCGATCATGGCTGCTTGTAAGACTTACTCCTCATCCCTCTTTCTATCTTAATGAACTTTTTCCTGCATCCTGGCTGAACAAGATGGCTGGCAACCTTACATTCAGTGCACCATCTAGGCACCCCAAATGCCACAACAGTCCCTTTACTATCCTCAGAGACACCGTTCACAACGTCCTGCAGCGAGCGGGCTGGGTCGGTCGGCAGCGAATTCTTCAAGACCATCTGTACGGCACTGATGATGGTATATGCCGCATCGTTACTGGCTGTGTGACCATCGCGAAACTCCACGCCAAAGTGTGGGATCAAAGTTTTTAGTGCGATTTGCTGGCCCTTTTTCTGGCCCTTTCCACGAATACCCTGCTCATTCGCAATCTTCTGGGTATCGATAATAGCGACAACGTTGCTGTCGAATTTGGGGTCGATACCAAGCTCTTCTTGCAGCATCCGAAGGTCGTTCTTGACTGAGTGGCCGAGGAATATGACTGGGCATTTAGGACCATCCTCGTTGTCATCATCGACAGGCCACGCGAGTGTTTCGACCAGGAACTCTTTTGCGTCTTCCTTCGTGGCAAAGCGCGTTGAGCCGAAGTGGTTTCTTTCGGGGTTTCCTCGGACGAACCTCCAGTTGATAAGGTGTGCATTCTCGCGTATACGAATGTGGTAATAGTAGATGTTCTGTAAGACGTTTTCTCCATGTATACCGGGATTCTCGAGAACTGGCGCCATCTCTTTCCGCGAAAATGTATTGAGCCCATATTCTGTCAGCACTCGTGGCTCTATCTCGTGCATTTCGCAATCCATGGTGACAACGATGGTATGCGCCGCTAGTGGTGGTGCGCCAGGCATCTCCATACCAAGGCCATACTGCAATACCTTGGTATGGCTTTTGCCCAGGAAGAAGCGTCGGACCTCTTCCATGGGCGTTTCAACAACATGCGAGACGGTAGCTGTGTTGGTGCCATAGAGTTCTTCGAGAGAATCAACTGAGTTGATTGAAGCGCTTGAAGACATGGCAAGCGATTAATATATGTATGCTGATACCAGATGTTGGGTTTCTGGTCGGGAAGTTTTGTATCATGAATATTGTGATCTTGTTGAAGCTATTAGAACCGCTAATGAAGAAGACTTTTCGGGGGTCCAAATAAAGTCGTGTGCCTTTATAGACCCGTGTTTTTTGCTAATGAGGTGCGATTTAGCACGGTGGCCCCGTATGTGGTACCAGGGTTCGCGGCGTCGCTACCTGTAACCTATCTCTGGAGATGCCAGTAGAAGCTCGAGTATTACCACGCCAATGGTAGACCCACCATGAGTAGAGCGTATGATAATGCTGCATTGCCGAATTGTAGGTACCAGCTTCGTCAGCCCTGCATACTGGAGGAATCGCATACGCGGGCACGGCGAAAACCTGCGTTATACTGTCTAGTACCTCATTGGCATGCTTACTCTTCTCCACCGAGTTGGTGTTTTGAATTGGTCAGAGTGAGGAGTCGAGTGATGTAACAATGTCATCATGGCATAGAACCAGGGGTAGGCTCGTGCTGCATGCTGTGCATCCGAAACTTCGCATGTACGCGCACTCGTTGTTCTACTCAGACGCACTTCGTCGATATCGCATGTTGCTATAGTACCAGAAGACCCATTTAGCGACATCATTTGACTCTGAATGGGTGGCTTGATTCCAGGAGAATTACAATTACCTAGGTCATGACTGGAGCTACAGTCAGACCCTCTTTTACTACCTGAGTTCGCCCAGTGTGCGCCGCTAGCGCTTCCAAACAAGTAACTCAAATCGCAGCTTCGTAACGTATTTTTTCGCTTCTGGAATCCGTAGAAGCGGCTAAGTTCGCAATCTCATGAAGTTGGTGCCACAAGATTTCCTATGGAGGAACCTCGAAATGGACTTGCCAGAACGTGATCTCTCGACCCGAAAGAAGTAATATGCGCTGCGTCACGAAGTCTAGCATCGAGCGAACCTTCTCGTACCCTTTGGCCTTCAGCCGATCAGATGTGAGTGGCTTAAGAGCCCATGAGTATGGCGCATTGCTAGACATATCGAGATCGCCTTGTATTTCGAGCTGTTCAAGCGTGACACGCCCGAGCCGATGCATGTCTTTCATTGCCACGAATACGTCTCTCCATGCTGCTATGCTCGTACCTGTGACTGTGACATGCGAAAAGCTCACATCTTCCAATGTTGAGCGATGACGGAGAAGCATCCGAAGCAAATTGCGCCCGTGACTGCGAGACCGGAAGAGATGTAACGTTCGAAGACTGGTCCAGGAAGACTGCACAAAGACAGTCCGCAACATCCGGTACTCAAAGTCACAGCTGCGTCCATAGAAGTGCTCGACTGCAGTAGCATAGATCATCATCTCCGATATCCATGTTAGCAAGGCAGGAACCTCGCTGCCATCAATATCACTCATTGCGCAATCGAAGGTTAGACTTCGTATCCGAGGAGCTATAGCTCTCCAGCTTTGATGACCAGGATCATAAATCCTGCCGTTCGATGGAAGGTTCGCCGCAGTGATTGTCAGGTCGACTGTGAGCTTGTCCAAGTCAACCGTGCTCAGTATTCTCGAGAGATTCTCCAGCATGATGACCTCGGCGTAATACTCCATGAAGAGAAGGCCATCGAGGCTAAACTCCAATAGAGTTCTCGAACCAGATGGGGCCAAATCGGTAGTCACTTCGATGGCGTGTGCCCCGACTGCGCGATAGAGCGACATGGTACCTCTACTCCGTAGTATGGGTTTGGCGAATCGTTCTTCGTAATATGCCCCTATAGGACGGGGATTGATCTTGATACTCTTCAAGTTCGTAAGCTTTCCGATGGCATCTCGAACGTATTTGGCCGCTGTGCTAAAGCGGTTCTGGTGCTCGACCAGTCTTTTGAGTGTGCCTTCGTACTTTTGAAGCCAGCGGGTATAGCCACCTCGGTCATTCCAACGAACCACTAAAGCTGATCCTGAACCTCTTCTAGTAAGGCCTTTCCAAAGCGGCTCCGGAAGCTTGACCATGGGCCATACAGGTCGGGCAGAATCCATGTGTATGTAGCTCTGAGGGTGTGGACATCCCATAGACGGCTCTTCCCACGGCTCTTTGATATATCGAAGGTCCACATCCAGATTCGTGTTTAATATCTCCGGGCCGAACTCCAACTCTTCCACGTATGTGCACAGATGCTCGTTTTCAGACAGGTCCTTCAGAATGGCCAGACTCCATGGCATCAGGCTGAACTTGGATGAAGAGAGATGACGCTGCAGGAATGCGTCTTGGGTCTTCGAATGGATGATTCGACTAGCGAGACGGAGACTAGAAAGGCTTATGGGGTCAAGGATGAAGCTCTCCCCGTCTGCGTACGACGCCCGTGAGTGGCAAATCTGCGTCCAGATCTCAGGAGGTAAACCTTCAAACGTAGGTTCTGGTTTTCCAGGGAGTGGCGGCTCTGACATCGCTCGTGCGGAAAATAGTTGAATGTGTGCCAAGCTGCGAAGTGGTGGTCAAGAAAGGCATTTGGCGACGTATAACAGGAAGTGAGCTGGAAAGGTTTGTCCGTCTCCCTGGAATCGCTTTCTCACAGGTGGGTAAGCGACTATGACACGCGAAAGATAATCATCTCTCCTAATACCATGGCTTCTATGGCGATTTCGAGAAGAGACCATAATCAGATGTCAGGAAACCAAAGTCTCCTGCAATATGTCGCCAAACAGTTGTGGAATGGGTAGGTAAAACAGATGTTTACGTCTCAGAAACTCCACAATGTTGACTGGGCCCATTAATAAAGAAGGTTCTAGAAGATTACCGTAACTGCTGCACCAGAGGGAACAGGTCAACCCAATCGCCCACTTGCAGTGTTTTCCAGTGCCAGCATCTATGAAGTGACAACGCCCAGGGTAGCTCGGGGTTGCGTGGCCCTTGCACATAATTGAGCTGCAGATGGATGCTAAGCCTTCGTGTATCTGCCCAATGGAGGCGCACTCGATCAGCCACACGTTGGGCGGCCGTATTGCATCCGGTTTGGCTGTTGAAAGAGAAAGAACCTCATGATACCCGAATGATGTACCTGGTATGCGCAGAAGTGATAACGTGGTGGAGATCGCATCTAGCTCGCGACAGGGTGCGAGGCATTGGATGGGGTGGCAAAATCCTGGTCAAAGCTTCTTGGCGTCGTGTCTCTTTCCGATGGTCCCGCGACGCGAAGATGACGCGACATTCCGCCCTCAGCTTTCTGACCACCTGCGCCCACTTGGCCCCGACAGCAACACCTCGCATCGTCGAGCAGTCCCAGGTCTGAATCAAGACAACACACGAGAAATGGTTGCTCAAAGTAAGAAAGCCTGCTTATTGGGTCACTTTAGACACAAAGGAGATATCTGGCGCATCTGAACAGGTTCTATTGAAGGTATCGAACCACGCCCATCACCCGAAATACATACGACCGACACGTCCACCAGCGCATAAGCACGCTTCTGCTCCAACCCCCAAACCCGACGCGCTCAAGACCTCCTCGGAGCCGCACTCGTCTTTCCAATCCCGCCGACACCTACACCAAAGGTTCCCGGCCTCTTGCTTGGCTGGAAGCTCATCCGTCTCGTCTCATTTGTGGCGGGCTGGGAGGGAGCCACGGGAACGGGATCCGGTAGAGTAGGCGCGGAGGTCTTCGCCGGACATGGCTTTGCTGGAGGAGACTTGGAGGGGGCTGTGAAGCCGGCAAACACAATCGGAGGGGCGGCAGAGGCGACATGTTGAGTCGCGCAGGAGGTATTCCGTGCGTTCTGCATAATAGCAGGAGGGGCACTGAAGGTGTTGTAGCCGACGAGGGGTACCGAAGAGGCAGCGGCCACGATGGCTGGAGTAGAAGCGACGACGACACTTGGGCCAGCCTCGACAACCCTGTTGCCAAAGACGCGCAGACCAGACAGCGGATACCGAATGCCATGAAGGCGCAAGCCACCTAGACAATGATTAATAAATGGTCTTCAAATCAGTAGAGGAGATGTTAGGAGAACATACCTTGTGGAAGGAGAGGACAGGGGAGGCCATCACAGGCCGCCATGGCGTAGTCCAAGTAAGTCTGGAACTGGGTTCCGTCGATACCGAGCTCCGCAAGGTCAATGCCAGCATTGCCCGCAAGAGCCCCAACGAACAACACCACGACGGTCATCTGAAGACCTCCCGCCTCCACCATCCGGTGGATATACTCCTTGAGGGCGTTGAATATGGCGACCTGGGCGTCGCGCTGGTACATATCGCGGCCGTGCTGAAGAGCGATCGGCTCCAGCTCGTTCACCCTCTTCCTCTTGGCCTCAAGGGCCACCTCCAGCCGGTTCCGCTCGCAGAGAAGGGTCGACACCGTTGTGTCGTTGCGCTTGTGGATAATGGCATCTTTCAGCCGGGAAATTTCGTCGCACTTCGACTGAAGCTCCAGCTTCAGCTTGGCGATGGTTTGGTGGGAGGTGAGGCGGTCGGCGTCAACGGCGGTGACGTTGTAGTGTCGCTCATACATGGCGACTTTGCCAGTCAATTTATTGATCTGGCGCTGGAGCGTTTCGATGGTGGCCTCACAGTCGACCAGCGACTGCTTGCCGGGAGGGGGGACGTAAGCGGCACCCGAATTCTGCTCAAATGCCAGCACTTGAGCTTTCAGGGCCGCTATCGTCTTGTCGCGAGAGAGGACAGCAAGCTCACGAACCAGCGCGGCGAGAGTCCCGACAGAGGAAGAGAGGGCACGGCAGGCGGGCGGCGAGGATCGAAGGACACAGCAGCCGGCGAAAAACCATGCCCCAACGGATAGATGGGGACCAGCCCCATCCTCCAGCGCGGCTGGGAGGAAATCCAGAAGGCCGAACGAAGTTGCGACCTGGAGAGCGAAGAACATGACTGCGGCCAGCGCAAAGAAGAGGAAAGTAGACGACATGTCAGTTTGTTTTGAGGGTTTGTATGTCGTTCTAAGGAGAGTGTGAGATGGATGAGCAAGTTAAGAGCAGGAAGTTGACTTTACATACTGGCTGAGAACTGCAATATGTGCTACTGACTGCTGTACGTTGCGACAATACGAAAGTCTCTATTGTCTGGAAGGGGGTGAAGAGCGCAACACCCTCACTAACACCGCGACCACAAGGACTACAATAGCTTTCATGAATTCGGCTGTGTCTATTCGAAGTGACTGGAGCTCTCTCATCATAGTCATGGCCAAAGTCTGGCTTTGCAATAAGCCCATGACGATAGACACGATCACATACAGCTTTCACCTTCACCGCGGGAACAGCCAATGTCGCCCGCATCATCGCGATCTGGCCAACTCTCGGTCACTATACGTTTCATCGTAGGCATCTCACATTGATTCTATCGCTCTACTGCCGCATGAGATGTGCTTGAACTCTCCTACTCGTAGTGCTCCTAGGACTATGTTTCCTGGGTGACATAAGCAAAGGACGACGCTATTCCCAAATGGGACGAACAAGTGAACACGTCACGACTGACTGCAGTGTAGAGTAACCATTCGACATTGATGGATAAATTGCGGCAGTTCCAGTCGCTTGCTTACGGTTACTGTAGAGGTCGATGCATGCGTGAGTATGGAGCATGTGATCGCCTTACCCAGCCTTCCAGAGGTGTCAGAGCGGGGAAGCATCAGCCCGACGTCTTTCCTGTTGTACCCTTCACCCAACTCTTCCTAAAGCATTACATTCAAATGATACGCACCACATATATACCTCAGCCATGCGTCTCATAAACTGTACGACCCTAGAGCTGGAAGAATTCATCGGCAGCAATACTCCAAAATACGCCATCCTATCACACACATGTAAGAAGTTGACTGTACAAACTGCATGTGAGTCTTACACTGACTCTGTATCTTCACCTTTGCAGGGGGTTGCGAGGAGGTCTTATTCACCGACTTGCCTCTTCACCAAGCTACAACGGTAACGAAAGCTGGATACCGAAAGATCAAACACACCTGCAATCAAGCGTTATGCGATGGGCTACAATATGCATGGGTAGATACATGCTGCATTGATAAAACATCGAGCGCAGAACTGTCAGAGGCTATCAACTCCATGTTCAATTGGTATGCGCGATCTTACAGGTGTTACGCTTTTCTCGAGGATGTGTCGGCGATCGATATCGAGGGTGAGCTCTCAAAGAGTCGATGGTTCACCCGTGGCTGGACTTTGCAAGAACTGATCGCACCTCCCCTCGTAGTCTTCTACGATGCTGCATGGACAACGTTCGGAACTCGGAGAAGTCTGGCACCCACAATAGCCCGCATCACGCGGATTGACTTGGGGTTTCTGATTGCTGGCGTATTATCTCCTTGGAGCTATGGGAACAGGCTTGATAGCTTGTGCATAGCGAAGAAGATGTCATGGGCAGCATACCGTGAAACAACTCGAAAAGAAGACGAAGCATATTGTCTTATGGGGATATTTGGCATAAACATGCCTTTGCTTTACGGCGAGGGCGAGAAGGCTTTCGTGCGTCTGCAAGAAGAAATCGTCAAAAAGAACAACAGCGATGACTCCATTCTAGCATGGGATCTGGAGAGCGAGCGAGCGATATCTTCTGCGCGTGGAGCAGCTTCAAATATTGCCCAGTCGACACTCACTGGCGAGATACTGGCTAGTTCGCCATTGGAGTTCAAAAACTGCGGTGGTTTAGAAATGGCGCCGGCTACCGGCCCGCTCTTGACTCTTGACAGTGTTGGTATCAGCACTCGGCTGCCTCTCGTCACCATGCAGGTTACCACAGCACAGCATGTGAGTGAGAAGCTCTTGATCGGCCTTCTTAGTTGTTCGTTCCGCGCGAACAAAAGTTCTCACATGCTTGGCATCTTACTCACTCCAAAAGACTGGAGCATGCACGCAGTCTCCCCACGCCACATGGTGCGGAGATCAACTCTTCGAGGAACAAAAAGATCAAGAACGGTTCTGGTGACTTGCCGGGATGCTCTCGAAAGCACAGACTTCCAACAAATTACCATAGTTCCATACCTTCACCGGGGCCCTGCTGGTCCAGCTCTGTACAACAGATCGTATGTTATTGATGAGACGCCGAACATATGGACTGCTGGACTTCGCTTGCTTCACGTAGAGGGATGGTATGGTAACGAATACCCGCAATTTGGCGGACAGATGCCCCAAAAAAGAGATATGCTCAATTGGGACGCTAGTTCTCGGACATATACTCGCATCCGTGACGACCCGCCAATACATGTACTGTCCTTGGCCTATTCAAGTCGCGACACCCACCCAGATGTGGCTTTCACGATTCACCTCGAGATGAGTCTCAATCTCGCTACCGTCTACGGCCCTTCAGGGCCACGCACGGAAGACGACATGCGGAGAGTTTGGGATGCATTACGAGATAGGAGTTGGCAGACGGATCCGGATAGGGTAATGTATACGCATGGCAATGGGCGTCAAATCCATTTATCTGTCGACTTGAAAGAGAAAAGAACCATTCAACAGTGGCGGATTTTCAGCGTAGAGATTGATGTCGTTGACGTCTCGCAATTTGGAAGTCGTGTAACTTCATGATCATTCGGGATATCGGTATCTCGCCTCCACGTGATGAATATAGGGCTGGTTACCACGAATACTATATTCATTCGTCTTGGGCATGGAGAGATGAACAAATCGACGCGAGTGACCTTTAACAGCTCAACGCCGCAGCAAAAGCCACAGCCAAGACAGCCGTGACACTCGCAGCGATCGTCCCTGCCGCGCCCGTCTCTTTGGGCACTTCAGCTCCAGATGTACCCGACGCATCCCCACTCTGCGTCGCGTTGTCACCATCTCCAGCTTCCGTCCCATTCGAAGCGAGCGGTTTGGCCTTCGAGAACAGCAAGCTCTGCACTACAGCCAGCGCACTGAACACCTCACCTAAATTGCCGTCGCTAGCAGTTTCCAAACTATCCGCATGATCCCATGAGTGCGAGCACTTGACGTCTTCCGAAACTTCTTCGCATATACCGGCGGCGGCTTTGGCGGACGCTTCGAGCTTCTTGGTGAGCGGCTCTGCGAGGGAAGGGGCGGCGATAACTGCACGGGCATACGAGCGTGCGGTGATACCTTTGAAAGAACGCATATCGATGCTGCACTTACCATTACGTTCGCAGGCTATCTCTGTGAGGATATCGTCTTCGAAGAAGATATTGGAAGAGTTCACGAAGCCTTGTACGGCATCGGTCCATTTCTGTTCGCCGTTGGTCTGCCGGTGGCTATTAGCATGAAACTGGTCAAACAAGGAGAGATACTCACGATGTTCTGCATGATAGCAGAGCCCTCTGTATATACCGAGTGGATGTACGACCACTGTACGCGATTGGCATCCTCGCAATTATCCAAGCTGGCAGTACCGTCGTAAACATCATAATCATCGCTGATCAATCCCCGGTCCTTGGCCCAGGTATACGATTTATCCGCCCATTCAGAGTATGTTTCGTTACCGGTAAGCTTGGCTAGGCGGGCAGCCAGGAGGAAGAAGTCGCCGGTGGCAGCATTGGATTTGTAGTCGTATCCAGACTGGAACGTGAAGATTGTATAACGAAGACCTCCTCCACAGGTTTCTTCGTCCCATCTTAGCACCTGCACATCGAATACTTCCGCAGCGTACTCAGCCCACGATCTGTTCTCTGGTGGTGAGAAGCCAGTTTCGGCCGCGGTCAGGGCTGCTAGAGCCCAGGTGGTTTGATCCTCGTTGGTAATTTGTCCAGTTTGATTCGCCGGCATAAAGGCATAATCCTCACCAAGCTGCGCTTGGATACCTTCAGAAACGATAGAATCATACTGGCTATCGCCGGTTAGGTAGGAATAGTCGATCAGCGCGTTGAAGACGAGACCGGCTTCCCACCAGTAGTAGGGTTTGGGGAAGATGCCGGGGATTCCAGATTCGGACACGCTCTCATTGTAGAAGGTAACGAGACCGTTAGCAAGCGTCTTTGCAGCACTTTTGATGGAGTCTATCGATGTTAAGCTTTAGTTACGCAAGTGGGGACGACCGTTTTTACCCTGGTTCTGAACATCCAAGTCTAGCGCGGCGGTAGAGCTGATGATGCATGATAAAGTGAGTGACAGGACGCTAGCGCGTGCGAACATGATGAAAGACGAAAAGAGTGTAGTTACGCTGCAAAATAGAAGTTGACAGTAGAAAAGCCAGTAATTCAAAAAGCAACAAGACAGGAAAAGCTGCTAGTGATGTTTGTCAGGTGCCACAGGATCAGCGCTAGTATTATCAATCCAGCCGCTGTGCTATGCGTCCAGTCACGGTTCATCGGCTAGCTAGCGCAGAACGCCTGAACCTACATAGCCTTGTTGCTCATCTCGCATAGCTATTCAGAGGCAGAGCATCGTATAAGACGTAGCTACACCTTATCTAACTATTAGATTTTTGTAGGTAACTATAGCCGCTAGCTAGTTAAGGTTGTTAGGGGCGGAATAAGGCGTAGGCGATAGTTAGATTAAATAGAATTATTCTCTATATAGCTTAGCGTACTATATACAAAAGAAAACTAAAATCTAGCTCTAGAATATATTAATAATATATTTATATCTTGTCTTTATAGAAACTATAGAGGCGCTAGTACTCTCTTTACTAGTATTTAACGCTAAGTAGCTTAAAGTACCTTTACTACTCTTTAAGAACGCGTTTAAGAACCTAGATATAGCCTTCTTAAACCTTAGAATAGCTAATAATATACTAAGTAAGAAAGGTAACTCTAAGCTAATTTAACTTATATACTACTTATAATATCTTTATATTGCGTTCTTAACATAATTTAGAAGAACCTTATTCTACTCTCTATAAGTAGTAATAGCAGCCTAGGCCTAATAGTAACATTATATAAGTATATTATAAGTATACTAATATAGCCTAAAAGTACACTAGATAGCTACGTATATATTATCTACCTACTACCTACTTATATAATATAGAAAGATGCCTTAGGCAAGGCTATTAATATAAGAGGCCTAAGAACGTAATATTAACGTATTTCTAATATAATCTAGTTCTAATATAAGAAGGCCTAGAAATACAAAGAGTGTATATTCTCTTTACTCTTCTTAAATATAATTATATAACGTTAAAAGTATATTTATATAAGTATTAAGTATTATACTACGCTTACTAAGCTACTTAAGGCTTATTATTATTCTAAAATTATACCTAAGGTAGAGAATATACTTAGAAGTCTAAGAGATACTATTATACCTAATAATAAAATAACTTACTAGAAGTAGGTAGCTAGGTACGTTTAACGTGTACGCAATATATTCTTAATACACTTCTACTAACTTTAAAGGCTCTACGCTACAACTCTTAGACGCTTTATAGGTAGTAGATCTTATAGTAACTAGTAACTAAACTATAGATCTATATACTTCTAATAGTAATATAAAGTAAGAGATACTATAGACAGAAACACGTTTATAATACATAGTAACTAAGTTATAGAGTCTTACTAGTAATAAACTTTAGTTTATTAAGTATATAGCCTAGACATATAAACTTAAATATACTAAGAAGTATATCTTCTACGCTATTAGTTCTAAAATAGACCTAGAATACCTTAAGAACTTATTTAATAATAGCCCTCTAGCAGAGAAAGATAATAAGAGAGTATATAATGCTATAGTATTAATGTCTACTAGAACTCTAAGGTGTAGTAAGTAACTTTATACTATATTATATTTAGCGTACATTTATAATACGTTTTAGAATATAACTACTTCTATAGAGATAGGCAGCTAGTTAAATAAGTATATAATAAGGCTAAGTACTATATTATAATTCTAGTAGATCTAGTATCTTATCTATATATAATTATAATATATTATAGAGAATATATATATATCTCTTCTTCTTCTTTAATTCTAAGCAAAGACCTAAAAGCTAAGCTTCTTGTAGTTATTCTTTCTATATTAACTCTAGGTCTTACACGTAGTAAGTCTACTCTCTACGCTTCTATAATATATTATAATAATATTCTAATTACGTTTAGCTAAGGCTTTAGTGTTCTTCTAAGTCTAGGTATAGGTTAAGAGTAAAGGCTTTAGGTCTATTAAGAAGATATATATTATACTAGCGAATAAGAATAAAATTAGAAGCTTACTTAAAACCTATAAAGCTATAATATACCTTTATAGCTCTAGTGTAGAAGGTATTATATATAAGCTTAGAACTAAGCATTAAGACCTAGCTATAGTAAGCAGCTAGTAACGCGCTAGAAATATATTTCTAACATAATATAGGCGTATATCTAATAAATATACTCTACTAATAATAGTATATTTATATACTACTTTCTTAATAAGTAAGCCTCTCTATTACTTTAATAGAATACGTTCTAGATAAATATATTATATAAGCGTATCTATAGTAAGTAGTTTAAGTTACTCTTTGCTATCTTTAATAAAGATACTATAAAATATAGGTAAAAGTACGTTAACGCGCCTACAACACGTTCTAAGTATAATATAGTAATCTCTCTTAGAAAGGTTATTATAGATATTAATTCTATAGAAATATATATAGAGGCATTTACTAAGTTCTTTAAGCTCTATTTAGAGGTATTAGAAAAGCTAATTTACTTCTACTATCTTTATAGAGATAGTATTATAGGTATTACTATTAATATAGATAATAAATAGTTATAAGGTTAGTTATATTCTACTAGATTGCGTTAAGAATACGTTACTAATATAATTCTATAAGCTAGAGACTCTTTCTCTAAGAATTTTTAGAAGTTAACTATAGATAGAAATAGTATTATCTCTACATAGTTTGCCTATATAAAGCTTACTTTCTCTATAGTATTAACTGCGCTATTTCTAATATAGAGTATATAGAATACTCTATTTAGAGGCGTATAAAAGCTCTTCTTTATTATAAATTACTAGATAAGTATTATACCTATATTAGGCTTCTGTAAGGTATAAAACTTCTTTTAATTACGTATACAATACGTTCTTATAATATAGTAGAGAATAAATCTAAAGTAGTTATAGATTAGGTAGCTTATAAGGTATACTTTATTATTATAGATAGTCTTATAAAGTGTAATAACTATATAGAGTAACGTGTTTAGAACTTATTAGAGCGCACTTCTAATATAGCTAAGTAAGCTAGCATAAAGTTATATTGTAATAGAATTAATAAGACTTTACTTAAGGCTATTCTAATATAAGTACGTTTAAACATATTAAGAACGTACTAGTAATATATTTTAGCTTCTATAAGTAAGATCTCTAGAATATAGAAGAATATAAAGTAAAAATAGTCTATAGCGTCTACTATAAGAATAGATTACGCTATAGCTATATATAGAGGTACTTTAAGGCTATAAAAAAAGAGAGTAAGTCTACTATATACAACGTGTTTTATACATAGTCTTATTAAGTTTAGAGTAGAAATTAGAGTACTAGAACCTTATTATTATTAATAATAATAATAGTATCTTAGAGTAAGCTAATTTATCTAGTTTTATTATATAGAGTAGACAACTAAGAGATAGAAGCTGCAGGCGCTCTTCTCTAGCCTGCTCTTCTCTAGCCTACTCTTCTCTAGCTTACTTCTCTCTAGTACTAGAAGCTAGCCTAGAGTAGGTCTACTATATTGCGTTCTTATTACGTTTCTAATACACTCTTAGGCCTAACTCTTCTTAAGCTCTAAGGTAGTAGATACTTAAGAGTAACTAGGCTATTATAGAGAGAAGAGCGCTCTTAGAAATTAAGAAGAAAAAGATAGAGCTATAGAAGTAAAGGCTGTAACTAAAGAAATATAAGATAGAACTAGAAGAGCGTAGGTAGTAGCTTTAGAGAGATAACTCTAGCTAAATTATACTATAAACGCGTTCTAATTACAATCTAGTATAGTTACTATATATACTAGAGTCTATAGATAGAATACTAGCTAGTAGAACGTAATAGAAACACGTTATATATATAATCTAAGCCTATATTAACCTTTACCTAATATAGTAAGGCGTAACAAATTTTCTCTTACTAGTCTAGCCTTTTGCCTTTCTTTAGAGTTAAGCGCCTACCTACTACTATTCTTTCTTTCTCTACTTTCTCTCTTTACTCTACTATAGAACTTAAGACTATGTATTAGTATATAAGTCTTCTAATAACGCGTTTCTAACGTAATCTAATTATATTTAGAATAACTATCTATAGTATAGCTAACTTAGTGTTCTTTCTTAAGAGATACTACTATTTAGTAAATAGAATAGAAGTAGGTATTATCTTATCTACTAGAGAGAGATCTTCTATTGCGCCTACTATTACTAGCTTAATAGGCTACTTTGTAGTGTAAGTGCGCTAAAATTATATATAAAATACGTACTTACAATATTATAGTAGTAGTTTAGTAACTATAGTGCGCTAGTAAACTACGTTAAAAGATACTACTCTAACTACCTAGTAGCGCCTGTACCTATAGAGTAATTATTAATAGAGTAAGAAAAAGAAGTAATATTCTTCTTTAGAGGCATTATTTTACTAAGAGACTCTACTCTTAGAGTGTTTATAAAAGACCTACTAAAATATATTTCTAGCGTAATTCTATTACGTTTACTAGCTAAGGTGTAGGCTAAGGTATAGTATAAAGTACTACTCTAGCTAAACTAACCTCTACTACTCTAAGAACGCGCTTCTCTAGACTTAGACTATAAGCTTCTATAAGTAGATAGCTCTAAGTATAATATCTTACTATAGAGCAAAGCTAAAGATAATATAAACGTATCTACTATATATTCTATATTAACTCTACTAGCTACGCCTCTAACAAGAGTAATACGTAAGAGAAAGAGAGATAAGACGTAGAAAGAGACTATAGAGGCTTTAATTTCTATTCTACTTTATAAGTCTACTAACTTAAAGTGTAAGTAGAAGAAGAGTAATATATATATCTTCTCTAACGCGTAGTAACTACGTTACTAACATATATAGGTAAATTTAAATAAGGTTAGACGCTTACTTTTAAACTAGAAGCTTCTAACCTAATATAAAACCTATAAATTAAAGAAGAGAAATAGTTAGTAAATCTATTTCTTTAGCAAACGCGTTACTTATATATTATAGAGTGTTGTCTAGAGGTCTTCTACTAATTAAGAAGATACTTTACTTTTCTAGATAGATAGTTAGTCTCTCTATTTAATATATTATTATAATATTATATACTTCTATAATTAGATTAATATATCTATAAGAAATATTATATAAACGCGTTATTAGCGCGTTTTACCGCTTAACTTAGTAATAGATATAAGTTTTAGTATTTCTATTTATGCGTAGCTGTGCGTAAGCTACGTATATACTCTATAGCTACCTAGGTTATATAACGCTAAGCGTATTAGTTATAGATTAAGTAAGTTTAAGTAAAATATAATAATATCGCAATTATAACGTAATAGCTTTTTTTTAGCTACTACTAACTCTATTACCTACTAACTACTACCTTAAATTACTACTACTCTCTATAACACGTTATTAATAAGATAGCAATACGTTCTACTAAGATAGCTAATTATAGTTATCTACTCTCTTTAGGCTCTAGCGCTATAGTAAACTATATAAGCTTTTTTATATAAATATAACTAGAAGACGTATCTAATATATTTTAGCCCGCCTATTACGCCTATCTTACTCTACCTACTCTATCTCTTCTATACCTACTCTTTAAGAAGAACGCTAATAGCAAGATCTTAATTTAGTATACTAAGTAGCGCTGTAGGCACACTCTAGAGAATAGTACTCTCTATAGTATAAGTTCTTAAAATATATCTTCTATATATTGCTAATATATTTAGACTATTATAGGTTCTTGTAGCTCTTTTATAACCTACTATATTAACTAGCATAGCTCTATTATCTAGAGTAATACTTACTCTCTAGGTAGAAGGCTTAGCGCTATCTTTATCTATAGTAAAAAGAGTACATAAATATATTATCTATATATTTATAATATGTACCTCTTCTCTTCTAAGTCTTTTTCTCTTTCTACTTTTTTCTTTTTTTTTATTCTTAAAGTTTTTCTCTTTCTTTTTTTACCTTTTTTCTTTATTAGCAAAACGTAATATAATTATAATTCTAATATATTTTAGAGTTCTATTAAATCTTAATAGATAACTATAACTTTAAGTATAACTACCTGCTTAAACAAGTATAAGACAACGCCTTAGTTTAATAAAATATTCTAGCCTAGGTCTAGCACTTTATAAACCTAGTCTACTATTAAAATAGTTATCTTTAAGAATAAGTAACGTATTCTCTACATATTTACTACGCATTTCTATACTTATAATTCTTAGCTTTATCTTACTACTATAAAGAGTATACTTAATACCTATACTTTCTCTAACCTCTACGCTAACTACTATGTTATTAGCTATAGTAAGCTTTCTTAAAATATATTTAATACGCTCTACTAATACGTTACAGCGTACAACTTCTAAGAGAATAAAGATAATAATAAGAATTTCTATCTCTCTTATACTTACTTTAACTAAGCTGTAGGCCTCTAGAGTATCTCTACTAATACTTATACTAACACACTACTCTATAGTAACACGTTTATATTATATTTAGTACATAATTTAATTAGCAATAATAGAACTTTAATACTCTAATATATCTTCTTTACTTACTCTTTTCTATTCTTGCTATAATATCTTGTAAACATGTTGTGTAGTATTTATACTAGTAAGCGCTAGCCTAAAAGAAGTCTTAGCAATAGTTAGGCTAGTTTTTTTAATAGTTAGATAAGCTGCGCTCTTGTATAAGACGTGTATACGGGCGTAAAGCTGCCTTGCGATAGACGTTGGAAACAGCACAGCCCTACGATAAATATAGGTGCGCCCTGGTTGCGGGGCCAAAAGCAGCCACAAGATGTCATCTTTCATGTTTGAGTATGTCCGTGTAGCTAACCATGCGCATGGAGTTGGTTGAACAAACTCTCTCTGTGCACCTCAAGGTCATGCGGCATCGCGTCAATTCGCCTTCCGACCGATACCCATCTTCGCGACTAGAGCCTCCGCGATGTCGCGTGCAAAGTTTTTATCGTTGATCGCGCGCTCGTCCTCGATTATCTCGACCTTACTATCCTGGAGCCCTCTTCTTATCGCATCGAAGAGCGCCGCATCCGCCTTTTCGTCTTGAAACGGCCCATCGGGGACCGCAATCATGCTAATACCCCCCTTTGGAAGCCAAATCTGAACCACCTCAGGGTTCTTTGCATGAGTTTTCAACTTCGCCGCAATGAAATCGCCGACTTGAGTCGCTTCGTCTACGGATGTCCTCATCAGGGTGACGACAGGGTTGTGCTCGTAAAGTTTGCGGTCTTTGTATCGTTCCGGTACCGTGTTCATGGGGCCAAAGTTTGTCATGTCAGTCGCGCCCACGGAGACGATATATGGTATTCCAGCTTCTGCAGGAGCCTCGAGACGATGTTCGCCCGCGCTCATCACACCGCCGGTGATGTGGTCGCATATTTCGGTAGTGGTAAGATCCAGCACTGCATCAAGGCCTCCTTCTTTGACAAGTCGCTCCATTGCTTTTCCACCGTGGCCGGTAGCGTGGAAGACGTACGTCTCAATATTGTAATTCGCCTCCAGATGTGCGCGTATTAAGTCGACGGCTGGAGTAGTAACACCGAACATGGTAATACCAACACGCTTCTTCGTAGATCTAACGGCATCTTCTTGACGGGATGCGTATGCTCGAGCCATGCCGGCGATGGCCGCTCCAGCGTTGCTGAGCACGTTTCGGAGTACCTGATTTAGACCAGCGACATCCACCACGCTGTACATCAGAGTGATATCCGTTTCTCCAACGATGGGTCCAGTGTCACCGCTTGCGACGGTAGAAACGATAAGCTTAGGGAAACCGATGGGTAGTGCAGTCCTCATCACTTCTGCCGCTAGGGATGTGCCACCCGAGCCTCCTGCATTGATGACAGCGTGTATTTTTCCTTCTTCAAACAAATTCTTGACTGCCTTGGTAGCGCGGGCAGCCATCGTCTTGATGACTTCGCCTCGAGGCAAGTCACTAACATCCTCCACGCCACCCTGATCCTTCAGCAGTTGATCTTGACTGATGCTGATGGAACTGTGCCTTATACGCTTTCTACCCACATCCATCAACGTCACGTCGACATTATTTTGTTCTATTTCTTTGCGGAGGAAAAGAAGCTCCTCCAACTTTGTGTCGCAAGTACCGATAAGTACGACGCGTGGGTGAGAAGACATAATGATACAATCATCTGATAAAGAATGCAGAAGGTTGATGTATAAGTATTGAGTGGGTCGTGGATGCGCATGCCAGTGTAATGGCCCCCCGCGCTTGCATTACGTCATCGTGCATACTTCAACAGCGCGACCCAGCATCATCGCTACAGCATCGAGACTTCCGATTACATCTTTTGATAACAGACACCTCATCTCCACTCTAATCAAGAGCTGAAGTACGCTCAGTACGCAAACATGTCACCCCCAAGCGATCGTAAAAGCATATTACAAAATCTCCGCTCGCAGGTCGACAACGGCAATATCATTGTTGGCGCGGGCGCTGGCATCGGACTGAGCGCGAAATTTATCGAAGCCGGTGGCGGCGACCTCATCATCATATACAACAGCGGAAGATACCGAATGGCAGGCCGCGGTTCGCTGGCTGGTTTGATGCCATACGGAAACGCTAATGATGTGGTTCTAGAAATGGTATGCCAGATGGGACAAACAGGTGCTCCCAGTTAGCGGCTAACAATCTCAGGCAGGCGAAGTTCTTCCCATCGTCAAATCCACGCCGGTACTAGCGGGAGTATGCGCTACCGACCCGTTCCGAGACATGTCTCGCTTCTTGAAGCAACTCAAAGACCTTGGCTTCGCCGGCGTCCAAAACTTTCCGACTGTTGGATTGATCGACGGAACTTTCCGGCAGAATCTTGAAGAGACGGGAATGTCTTACGACGCCGAAGTGGACGTCATGAAGATGGCGCGAGAGATGGACCTCCTAACGACGCCGTATGTGTTCAATGTGGAAGAGGCGAAAAAGATGGCGAACGCAGGCGCGGATATTCTAGTCGCTCATATGGGTCTTACAACGAGCGGAAGTATTGGGGCGAGCAGTGGAAAGAGCTTGGATGATTGCGTTAAGCTGATCCAGGAGATACGCGATACTGCAACAGGTATCAAAGAGGACGTCATCATCTTATGTCACGGCGGCCCAATCGCGAAACCAGAGGACGCGGAGTATGTGATCAGCCGAACGAAGGGCGTACATGGCTTCTATGGCGCAAGCTCAATGGAGCGCTTGCCTGTTGAAGACGCGATAACCAATATCACGAAAACATTCAAGGGACTAAAGCCTGGGTCCTCTGCATAGCCTAGTAATCGGGAAATGCATTCGTCATTTTGTGGTTGTGTATCTACAATGTATACCGGAAGTCGGGATGGCGATCGCCAAGTCTACCTGAGTCGATATGTCGGATTCGCTCCTCGATAGACATTACCTCTCTCTTCTTATTAATACCGCGCAAAGTGAAGTACATGAGAGCGTAGCCGCATGCTGCGATTGTGATCGTTGTGATGGAGACAGCGTGACCAATCACATAACGACCATCGTCATTCGTAATACGGTAGATCTGGCCGGCCATGATACCTGCCGAGTTGCCGATCGTTTGTTGCAATCCTATGGCGGTGGCGCGCTTGAAGTATCCCGCGTTGCTGTTGATCACCCAGGTAACGTTCAAACCCACGACACAGTAGATGCCAGTAGCCGTGACAAAGGTCGCAAAGTACAGCACCCCGGTCGAGGACATGGAGACACCCAGCATCATGGCATAACCAATTGAGGTAACCAACGCCAAAGGAACCATGAAGAACGCTCGTCGGTTGAAGTAATCCGAGCAGAAAGCGACGAAAAGATATACTGCCGAGGCCCAGATGTACACGGGCACGGTGAGGAGCTGAGTGCGAATGCTAGAGTATCCAAATCCACGAATGATGACGGGGAGGAATGTCGAGAAGCCGAAGGAGCAGGTATTGGCGCAGAATTGGCAAGCAGAGCTGAGCCATACTTTGGGATCGCGGAAAGCAAGCTTTACTTCCGACTTGTCCAAGGCATCTGTTGTCATCGACTTGCCCTGGTACAATCGTTCGTTCTCGTGTCGGGCGCGAAGCAGAGCCTTTTCGTCTTCGTTTAACCACCACGCGGTCTCGAAATTGTCAGGTAGTAGGAAGATGGTAGCGACACCGACGATGATGGAGATGAGACCCTCCACCAAAAATAGCCAGCGCCAACCAGCTAGTCCTTTTGCGCCATGGAGATTTGTGAGACCGTACGCCAGTAGCCCGCCGAATGCACCGCTTAGTGCAGATGCAACAAAGAGATACGACACCCTCCGCGCTTGCTCCAGAGGCTTGTAGTACATACTCAGGTACAACGTCAAGCACGGAAACAAGCCGGATTCGAAGGCACCGAGGAGCAGGCGGGTAGCGATGAGAGAGGCGTAGTTCTCGATGAAAGCAGCCCCGATAATGACAGCGCTCCAGCCGATGATGAATGTTGGAATTAGGCGGGATGGTCGCAGCTTCTTCAACAATATAGAGGCTGGAACCTCGAAGGCGATATAGGTGACGTAAAAGAGCGTTACGGCAACGTTGAGACGGTTGCCGGTGAGTCCCAGATCCTCGTTCATGCCTGCGATGGCAGCATTTCCTGAGCGCTATCAGCAAATGACCTTGGAAATTATTACTGGGAGATGTGTGTACCGATGTTGGACCGGTCAAGGTAGGCCACCTGAAGCACCCTTGTTAGGTTTGTTGTAGTGAATGAGAGTTTGTATGCATACCAGAAACACCAAGACCATCATCGGAGATAGTATGAGGTCCAGTTTGCGGATGAGCTGTTGATCTTAGTCAGCACGTGATACCCAGTCTTGCGTGCATCGCTTATACCTTCTTCTCAGCGACTGGATCAATATGAATCTCTTCGCTAGCGCCAATTTGGGTATCCTTCTCGTGAACTGAGCCATCAAAGGTCTTATCATCCGGGGTTGGATGCGACATGGTGTCGGTGGTGTCGTCTTCTGCGGGTAGACGAGACGGAAAGCTCATGATACAGGCTTGCGATCCAAACCAGACCCATCTGCCATGACATATACCTTATACCGTTCATCTTGACCTGGGACAACATTATTGCCGATCGGTGCCTAAGGAATTGTCCGACGCGGGAAGATAGCGAGCCCTGCTAAAGTGGGCATGATACGCATGGAGGATGCGCTAGGAACATTGGCAGGCAGGCGTCCGATAGAGATACTATCGGCTAAATCCCAGCGTTATCGGGAATCATCAACATGCCGGAGACGCGATACGAGGCAGAGATGGACAGAGGTGACGAAGGTCCGTCGACGAAGAAGAGGAAGAGAGGTCGACAAGCGAAGAGCTGTGTCGCGTGCCATCGGCGGAAGCAGAAGGTGCGTATGACGTAAGCAGTCGCTCCGAGCTTCGCGGCGCGATAACGCGTTGTGATGACGACCCTCCAACCCAGCCATCTTCGCAGCGCTTCTGTTATGAACGATTGCAATCATTCTACGAGCAATGCTCAATAGAGCGGATAGGTAGCTGATGGCTTACGCAGTGCGACGGAGAGCTGCCATGCTTCAACTGCAGCAGACGCGACGTTGCCTCGAGCTGCACGTACAGCGACGAGGCTGAAGCGCGTCGTCGGCAAACTTCACGTGTCGCCGCTATCCCTCTGAATGACGATATATCCTCAGAGAATCCCACAGGTACGTTTGTATCGGCGCTGGCCTTTGCGCAGCAGAACGCGAGAGCCTTGTCGACACGCTCATTGCAAAGATCGGTGCTAATGTTACCGCGAAGACACACGAACCACTTCCACGCGTGCCAGAAACTCGCCCGAACCCAGAGACGCACAAGTCGGTAATCTCTTCCGCAGTCGAGATGCCCCATCCTTTTTCGGCTCATCCTATTTCGGACCCCAAGCTGCAGCGAAAATAATCGAAGAGCCCGCACCAGATCTTTCCTCCGGCATACGGCATGCTGCGGCCTCGGCGCAATCTTTCCGCGATGTTGGAGGCCCTTTCTCCCAGATCTGGGATCTCCTAGGTTTGCTGCCGCGCAACAAGGCCAGCGTCGATCGCCTCGTACATGTCTTCCTCGACGAGCTGAATTGGACCATAGACGCCATCCATCCTCAATCCTTCAAACTCAAGTATGACGAGTTCTGGGAGCGTAAATTCGGCTTCGATGACTATGCGTCTATCGATCTGAGGTGGCTGGCATTGTTATTTATTGTCCTTGCCTACGGTGTTTTCCTCGACTGCCCCCATCCAAAGAATGGCGAAGTGCAACGTGAGCTTCAAGAGACATCACTACGCTTCTACTGGGCAGCAAGACGCGCTATAGTCATTGCACCAACATTCTACGGAGAGTCGACAGATCTTGTTCGTGCCGGTCTTCTGGTCACACGTTATCTGATCCATTTGCGAAGAGTACCGGAGGCTTGGCTTACGACCAGTTTTGCCATGCGTATGGCCCAAGCACAAGGCATGCATATCGATGGCGAACGTTGGCGTCTCTCGCGTAAAGAGACCGAAACCCGAAGGCGTTTGTGGAGCCATCTTTACACCTTGGATAAGACTATCGCGCTTGCCATCGGTCGTCCCTTCGCCATAGTTGACCAGCAATGTCTCGTCAAGAGAGCCACCAACGTCTGGTTGGACGACCAACTGGACGAGGACGCGTCCGCCATTCCAGAGCTACCCATGTCTGAGCCCACTCTGAGCGTCTACAACTTCCTTGCACACGATTTGGCAAAGATCATCGGCAGCATTCAAGAGCGTTGCTTTGGCCTGTTCACCGTTTCGTACGATACCGTCATTACACTAGATCATGAGATTGTTGAATGGGAGGCGAGGTTACCAGACTACTATCATCTGAAAACCCCGGATACATCTATGGATGGCAAACACCCTTTCCTATACTGGAACCGCTTGCATCTCCACTCCATGTACCACTTCGCCCGCGTCACGCTTCATCGACCGTACTTGCTGCGCCAAAGTATCACCAATCGCTTCAGACATAGTCACGATGCGTGCATATCGTCGGCATGCGCTGACCTTGCCATGCGCATCGATTACTTCCAACAGCCATTGAATGACCGTCTGAAGTGGACTTTGGGTCCACACCACCTCTTCAACAGTGCTTTAGTCCTCGGAATAATCGCTGTCAAAGATCCACACTCGCCTAAATGTCGCGCGATACTAGAGGACCTCTCCGCATATTGCGAGATGCAAAGAGCAGATATCTGGCTCAATGAGTTCGCGCTAGCTGAGGTCAAAATCATTGAACTCTGCATCAAGAAAGCAAATCAGTTTCGTGCTAGTCGTACCGAAACACGTCCCAACACAGCAGACAATGCGCCACCCACCGTGCATGGTGCCAATACCATCGACCTGACATCACCTTATACGGAAGATAGCTCGGCAACGGTGCCAGATCTGCCGGCGATAGGTGCAGGTGGGCCCTTCCAATGGCATGCGCCTCCATGGGGTGACCCATCTTTCACCACCTTGTTTGAGCCAACCGATCTACAACACTGGGAGAATGTACTGGATAACATCACACAAGAGCAGATGCTGTTCGGCTTCCAATAGCACATCACGCTATGTAGACACTGCCGACCCCGTCAATTGTGCAACCATGGTTTTGGCATATCTCGTTGCTCTCTAAGGAGATGGTACTGTTTCACTTGTATGTCATGTAGCCTCGCTGTCGGTATATACTCTAAGCTTCCTCATAAGCTACGGGTGTAACCAGACTTCCCATACCATGACTCATTACAATCCTCAGATCATCTCCCGGTTTGAGCCATACCTTCGGCACCTTGCTCACACCGATTCCATGCGGCGTACCCGTCATGATTACAGTACCTGGCTCCAGCGTCGTTCCCTGGCTCAGATATGCCACTATTTCTGGTATGCTGAAGATCATATCGTTCGCCAGCGAATATTGCATAGTCTCGCCGTTGAGTACCGTCTTCAGCTCAATGTCGCCTGGGTTTGGTATCGAAGACGCCGATACCAAGCATGGCCCCAGTGGCGCGAAGCCATCGAAGCCCTTGCCGAACCCCCATTGCGCTCCGTTAAACTGGTGGACTCGCGCGGTTACGTCATTCGAACATGTGTAGCCCAGCACGTAATCCATCGCATCTTCTTTACTCACGTTCTTGGCTAGCTTCCCGATGACAACCGCAAGCTCGGCTTCGTAATCGGCCTGGCCATCTGTCGCCTGATGTGGAATGACCAAAGGTGCGTTTGGCGAACCGAGGCATGTTGAAGGCTTGAAGAAGAGAGTTGGGTGGTCGGGAAGGTCCAAGTTCATCTCTTTGGCATGTTTCCGATAATTCAGGCCTATACAGCGGATCGTTCCAACTTCGGCTTTTGAAAGCGGTGGCAATAGTCTTGATATCGTGTAGGTCACTAGTGTTGGCTGGGTGTCCACGGAGAGTACGGTCGACCCGGTGAACACGCGGACTTTTACTTCTGATCCTGAAGTAAGGGCTGCGCCGACTGCAACGTATTAGCAACAACGGGCAATAAAGACAAAAGATCGACATACCATCCAATTCGGCATCGATGGGCTCGCCGATGTGCTCAGCACCGTCCTCGGTCGCGACAAACCGCACTAAACGACTCCAACTCTATGCAGCGTTAGCAGGGCTCTTTGACTATTCCCATTGATTTCCTACCGTCCTCATACCACCTGCGATATCTATAGACCCCATGCTTCCAAATTTTAAGAAATCGATCGATGGAACTTTGAGAAATCGCTCAACGAGGTATTTCGTGCCTGGCTCTTGGATACTTATTCCCTTCTAGTTCGCAGCACAACAGTTATTCTCGTTACGACGGCATGCATCTCCGCTGCTTATCGATCGGGAATTGATGGACAGGCCGACACCCCTGCTTGAGTGGGTCACTACCCCACCACTCATACGCGCGATGTCGGGTAACGTTATCTGAGGCGTTCTTTCCCGGTTGACAAGCAAACCAAACGTATAGCCATTGAGCTGCAAGCCTATTAGAGCCGTGCCACGACGCAATGACGATGCGACAACAGCACTGCAAACCTTTCCGAGACGAGAAACGATATACAATTATTTGCGATACTTGCTACAACGATGCTGAAATAGTCAGACGGGGACTCTCCCTCTACTCCAGGCTTCACTTCTCTGTGCCTTCTCAACCTTCAACACTGCTTCCGTAACGCCTTTTGGGTGTCCTTCTCCTTCTTTTTGGCCCTGGCATCTGAGTTCAGCCTTTCATGCTGCACGTGCGGCGGGCGGGCATAGGTCTGCTCGTATTGCCCACGCAGCGGCTCCATTATCACAGGATTGCCTACTTGACCCATCATGCCCAGATCCATCATCGATCGTGAGCTGAACTCGTCGATGCGACGTTCACCAGGAGGCACGTTCGCCAAGCTCGTGTCGATTGGCCCAAATTGACTGCGGCGGTTCAAATCGACGTTGATCCGCCGAGGTGTTGGGGGTGTCACCGTCATGGAATCCGGTGAGCCCATCGTTGGTTCCTGGGTCAGATTCATGCCAGGAAAATGCACTGGTTGCTGCACCCACCCAGACCCCTCTTCTTGCTCGCCAAGCATACGCCTCGTCATCGGATTCCGGCTGCGAGGAGGCGGTGGTCGTCGTGATGGTGTTACACCTGCAGAAGGACTGGCCAGCTCCAAAGGCTTTGGTGGAACAGGAGGAGGCTGCTTGCGAATGTCCAGCGGCTGAGGGCGCAATTCGGAAGCGCACCGGAAACTATCCATCGAGCTTCTCACTCTCGATTGACAGACACTAGGCGGAGTTACTGCATTGCCGTTCACGTCCGAAATCTGGGACACGATCGATCGATCCAGCGACATTGGCCTCGACGGCATCGTCGCTGTCAGCGGAGGTGACGTTACCGATCGCTGCAATGTAGATGGTCGAGGAGTGTCGACCTCTTCACTCTGCTGTCCGGACATTTCTGATTGCAGCGGCCTTGTGGTTTCAGGTGTGCTCAAACCCGAACGCGTTGGATCTGCGTTCACGACGTGCAGACGCTGTCTCGCAGGCCAAGGACTGGCGATAGTGCCCACGTCGTCATGAGCCAGAGAAACAGGAAAACGGTCAATTTCCCTCGCTTCGTTGGTCATAGCATTTCCAGCTGATTTGGAAGACCTGGCAGGAAATATCTTTCTCTTGTTCTTCCAAAGGTTGCTTGTCGCTTCAGCTACACCCTTGACGTAGAACTCTGCCCCTTTCTGCTCGACAGCTTTCATGCCCTTGTTGGTCTGCCTGTTCTTGTTGAAGACTTGCTTCAGCAGATTCTGGGAGGACTTGGGCGCTTCGGGAAAGTTATTGATGGTCACATTGACCGGAGCGTTGAAGATGTTTTTTACCGCCGAGCCCTCCTGTAAGCCAGACGAGATCACGTCCGTCGGACCCGCAACATCGGCAGCAGTTGCTGGCGCCGGGTGCTTAGCAAAAGCAGAGGTGGCATGCTGAGACATTGCAACCGGCTTCCGCGCAACACTACTACCCTGAGATGTTCGAGACGAAGGTGGTCGAACGGCAGATGAGGCTTCGCTTGGTAATGAAGACGCCGAAAAGGGTGTAAACGGCCGAGGTTCTGGTCGATCGCGCTCACGACTTTCTAGATCCTGATTTCGATGGTTCCAGAGATCGGAGAGAGCAGACTGTGGCCTTATCTGGTGCTGAACTGGCTGCGTTTCCTGGGCTGTGAAGAATGTTCCCCCGGACGATACCGTATTCAGCCGACTCGGTACACCACTTGCTTGCGACGATGGCGGATATGCGCCAGGGAACGATTCGCTTCGCGTAGACACATTGATTCCCTGCAGATGACTGTTACCCGCAGTTTGGCCCTGGAATGAGGGCACTGAAGACACATTGCTGGATCCCCTGTTACCCAACGGGCGTCGAGACACGACACTTTCTTGCACAGGCGTCTCAGAAAATGCTCTCGCCACGCTGCGAGGTGCTCTACTGCTCGCATACGAAGGAGGGTATGCTCCTGGAAGTAAAGGAGTCCCAGCGATCGGCCTTGAATCGAGCACCGTACTAGCAGCCGCCGAACCGGCCTGGGAAGGAGACGGAGGATAAGCGCCGGGATATCGGGGAGGCGCTTCGCTAGTCTGCGACTCGTTCGGGATATCATGGGGTACTTCAAACGACTCCAATCTGCGCGCAGGGTTCTCTTCTACCGTATGATACGACGGCGGACGACCTGATGAAATTGATCGAATAGACGATCTGCTTCTATCAGAGGCTGGTGGTGTAGGAAGTGCGCCAGGTGAGTATGGAAGCCTGACATCCAGCCTGCTGTGATCCGTCGTGACGATGTTAGAACGTTGGGCTTGGGCTTCTGCCACTGATCGAAGACTTGCTGGCCGCGATGCAGATGCCTCTGAGATCGGCGTTAAAGGCCGATAGAGTACGTTCGGATTGTCAATGACCTCCCGAGCATCGGCCACACTCCTTTGTTCCTGCTCAGTCACCGGACCCGGAGGATAGGACGCCATGGCTCCCAACACTGGGCGGTCTTCTGGAGACTGGGTAGCCGATGGCTCGTTCGATGGTGCAGAGGTCCGTCCGTGCTCGTTCACCCAGCGCAGCATATCCTCTCGATCTTGCCCGACCTGTGCAACTTCCCGAGAATGCTCTTCATCTTGACTTTGTCTTAAAGCCATCTGCAGCTGCTCGTCTTCACTCAAGCCGCGCACAGCGTATGTCTCCAGAAGTCGTGTAGACCGTTGTGCATGTTGCTGCTCAATCTCGGCTGCCACTTTGCTCTCGACAATAGTCTGATCTAAGGTCTCTTGATCTAGTCGCGCAGCTTGAGCCCGAGCTCGCTCATCCTTCAGTGACTGTAATTCAGCTTTCCGGGTAGCCTCACGCTCTTGATCGGCAGCTAGTGCTTCACGCCCCGACTGTCTTTGAGCTTCAAGAAGGCGTTGTTGGTCCGCCTCAATGTCTGCATTGCGTCTCCGCTCCGCCTCTTCTGCCTCTGCCTGGCTAATGGACAGCGCAACAAAAGTATGCTCGCGTTCTTGATCGGCAGCTCGTGCTTCGAGCTCCGACTGCCTTTGAGCCTCGAGAAGGCGTTGTTGATCCGCCTCCGCGTCTGTATTGCGTCTCTGGGCCGCGTCTTCTGCTTCTATCCGGCTAATGTCGAGCGCAACAAGAATCTCCTCGTCCTCCGCCTCGAATTGTCTTGTGACACTAGCGCTCGTTGGACGCGGTGGTACCCCGATTCCCGCGGAAGCTCGACTTGCTTCAAGGGCACGATTCAGATCTTGTTCTTCCCTCATCTGAGCATCGGCCGCGACCCAGGCCATGTCTTCCGGACCGTATTCTTCGTTCAAGTTGGACATTGCGACGATCGGAGTTTGGCCTTGGGGTCGCGCGATGCGGGCAGAGTCCGTCGGGTCGGCGCAGTCTTTTAGGCGCTTGTCGGAAGATGTGAGGAAGGGGCGATGTGCGAGGGGAGCGGTGGTCGCGGTACAGCCGTTGAAACCAAGACTTTGAGAGCGCTGGTGGGTGTAAGGGTGGAGGGGAGCCAAGGTGCTTGAGTGTAAGAGACGGGCTATTTATCAGTAGAAGAAGCACCCTCTGGGTGCCCGTGCTCACTTGCATCTCCTGAACGGGCCCATGGCGAGGTGATATAATTTTCGCAACGTCATAGCAGCTCTGGAAAGCCTGCAATGACAGACGCTGGCCATGTGTGGTCATAGCAATTTCCGGACAGTGAGGCAGAGAGCTCACTTAGCGTGAAGACCACTGGAAGAACCCCGAACATCGTGACCGATAAGTGATTTGAAAGCTTGGACTACCATATACTGTTGTATTGTATATACTGACGAAGAAGGTGGACCCACTCAACCGTTGATGCGAGGTCGTAGCGTCAACATATAGCATACGAAACATCACTTTCCCCGCCCAAGAGGTTTGTGTGTCGACACATTCGTTGCTGTTTGCATGCGCGCTTGTGTTTGGTGTTTGGCGTAGGGCTCTTTCCGCTGACGCCGTTGCTCTGTTTGCGCGACCACTCTTCGTCTTCAGTCGCTAGTATTTAATCGCTCTCAAATTTGGTATTTGTTGCAATTCGACTGGGTTTCATGTCCAGAAGCAGTCCACCAGCTACAATCCACATCCTGTAGTCAACACGTCCACGACTTGCTTTCGGAACTCAATCATGCCTTCAACTGGATCTTCATAGTGCCAAGTAAGACACTTTGACACGACTTGCGCGTAAGCCTTTCCCATCTCTCTCTCGATTTCGGTACTATTGGCCCAATCTAGTATCGCATTGTGTATACGATTAAAGAGATCCTGCTGCTGTACTATGCCGAAGATCGGGAACTTCTCTATGCGGCGGGCGAAGACTTTCGCCATTGTCCGCCATAGTCCAAGCTCTAGAAGAACCACGCCCAGTGAGTAGATCTCGTGCTCGTTAGAATATTCTGAAGATGGTCGGCCAAAACGGGCATGGTGACGGTACAGATTCGGCTCCAATGAGAAGTGCGTTGCTTCGAGGGGCTGCAGGACACCCCAGCCAACGAAGAAGGGAGACAACTCGAGATCGTTGAACGATCTCGGCAGCATTACGATGCTGCGCGACTGTAAGTTCCCATGAACCCAACCTGAGGCATGCGACTCGAGTAGTGTGCTTGTCAGCGCCCTTGCAATGAGGAAGCGACTTCCTATCGAGGGCCTCGCGGTCGGACCCTTCGAGATCATGTCATACAAAGACGGTGGGTTTGATGCCCAAGGATGACTTTGCGGAGCGCGGTAGATGATCAGACTCCTTCTGTTGAGTGGATCATCGATGAACCCCATACAGCTTAATGTATGCAGCTGGTAGCCGTTCTGGGCGTCGCTCTTGACGGATACGTCAGTATGATGAGGAGCCTGTAGCAACCACGTCAAGTGACACATGTACTCAGCAGGCGTCTCATCGTCCGATCGCGTTTCAACAAGAACGTCGACTTCATCTCCACCGTCATCGTATATCGTCTTGATCAGGCCGTGGGATGGCTGCCCAGTGCTAATCGTTTCTCTGAGCGCGCCAACGAGCCCAGTATAGTCGCTCAAAGGCTCTGCACCTGCTCGATGCTGGCGTTCGAGTTGTTCTGCCACGCCAAGGATAGCAGCCTGCCTGGAATTACCAAATCCTGGATCCGGAGGTCCGATGCCAAGGAAGACAATTTCCAGAGTTTGACGAAGCCGATGCGTCCATTGCAAGCAATTCAAGGTGAGAGTGGCCATCTCCTCTTCTCCAAACAATGCTTTGTATAGCCCTGGCCGTGCCTTTTCTCGCCAGAGTTGCGAGCGTTCTTTCATTTCCTCTCTCCAGCTCTTCTTTTCATGCTGAACATCTAGTGACGCGGCGCGACCGCGCTTCAGATCCTCAATGCTTCTTTGCCCCGCACCGGGGGTGGGACTCTTGCCGATGTACCTCCACGCCTCCCGGTGCGCGGCTAGAGACTTGTTGAGCGAGTAAAGAGAGTGCTCGACATCACTTGGTAAGATACGATGCAAACGACTGTCGCGTAAAACTCCAGTTAAGTCGCTGAAGCAGACATTCGAAAACACATCCAAGAACACAAGCGTCTCGTTCAAAAAGTTCGTTGTATTAGTTACGCCGCTTGTGTCTTTCGTGACGTCGCGGACAAAGATCAAAGTTGCGCAAATGACTACAGCGACGTTAGCATCGTGAATACAACCCCATTGTCTTCTATTCTGTATTTGAGAGCAGACAAACGATTAGTCAAAACCTTTCTAGTTCAGCCATCTCTTGCACAATGTCGTGGAATGCATCCAGCTTAGAACAGCTGTTGTTGACGGTAACACGTACGATGAAGGAGTTCGAGAGATGCGCTGACATGGTCCATAGCGTCCTATCGTATTTGGATGGCGTCGCGAAATGCCCAACAAAGTTTGACCTAAATAGCTGTCGATCGAATGCAATGAAGTCGCAGGAAGTGAGAAGTGCATTAGCGGCGCAAGCTGTCACGAGGGTGAGCGAACGGCAGTGCGGCGTCCCATCCTCGCGCTAAGCCACCACGCGGGCGCGTTGCACCCAGCTAAGATTAAGTTACCCCGCCGCCGCATGGCTGTTACAAACGACTACGAAACGTGATGGGCAGAATCCTGACGTGATTTGACGAAAACAAGTAGAAGGAGACGAGAAGCTGGAAGGGAAGTGGGAAGATTGGCAGCTATCCAAGGTCGGGCGCGCGTTCGCGATGGGGACGTCATTGCCCGTGCACAGTTTCGAAGACACTACCTAGGTAAACTCACCGGGGCAGTATGTGCGGACTTGACGGGACATTCGCATTTGCGTCGCGTCTTCTCTTCTCACGATTGTCAGTTTGCAAGATGCGAGATAGTCCACTTATATGGTTTGGATTAAGTACATAGTCATTCTACACTACCTTGGTACCCGCCAAATAGACAGCACGTGACTGACGTCATCGATCGCGCGAGATGTGCGGGCCCCCTTCCCTCTCGACCTATGTTCTCACGATGCCAGGAGACCACCTTACGAAGAGGTCTTCATAAGCTCAACATCTACGCGGCTTCTATCCTACGATATGGTGGCTGTATATCATCTGGTTAAATGCCCATGATGTCACGTGGTATTTTCAAGACGTCCATCTCGATTAGAAGCCGAAATTAGTACTCCTCCGTTTGCCGCGTTTCGCGCTGTACACGTCTCCAGTACTCGGTCTACTGGGTTTGCTTCTTTGCTCATCCAAGTCAGAGCTTGTGAAGCGCCGAAAGAGTCTCCGTGCAAGACCAGGCCGCTTCTCTCTTTCCCGTTCCCAATCCCTACTCCGCCCTCCTTGCTCGTAATCGATTACCTCGGGGATGCCCCCACCGCTATCTGCATATGATTCTGTCATATCCGGTCCTTGTGGTTTATCACGAAGTCGACCGTGCACGCCTGCTCTACCAGAGCGCCAGGAGTAGCTAGAGCCGATCGACTCGTTTGGAGAAGTTGAGCGTTTACTTGGTGACGCGATTATCCGCATGGGAGCGGACCGGAGGAGCTTCGCTGGACGAACACGTATCGTTGAGTGTCCTTGCGATGGCGAGCCGGTCAAGCCAGTTGGGGGCAATGCTGTAGCCAAGTTGCTCACATCAAGCGAGTGCAGACTCGAAGAGGTCGAGCTGTGTGTTGAGCTGCGGATGAGGTCGTTGTCTGTCATGCTGATGTCTACAGCACCTGCTGATAGTATTGTGTGAGGTCGATTCAAGCCAACTCTCTGGATGCGGTCATCGCGATGGCTCTGCTTCGCATTCTCCTCGCCAGTGAAACTGGACGATCCTATTCCTAGCTCGGGTACGAAGTTTTGCTGCCTACCGTCTGTCGAATCTGTTTCGGTCTGCGGGCGCGTTTGCCATTCTTGCGAAGACTGCCGCGACATCTGCGCTGCTAAGGAAGGTGTACCAATGACTTGGATTGTAACAAAGAACACTGGGTATTATTGCTAGCGCACACTACTGTTGTCGAGTAGAGTGATGTGATCGACACACTGTATGGGCAGTGTGAATGAATAGTACGGTCCATAGTACCGTTGCCGGAGCGATTACCCACATAGGCGATCACCGGAAGACAATGAAACAGCTCTATCAGTGCTGCACTCGCAACGTGAGTAGAACAGTCTGGTCGAGTGTGTCGAGTGAAAGACAATACAGATCTGGTCATCCAATGGTCTTGTCGTTTCTCATTGTCGTGCAAGTATGACACCAAACTAATATCTTCGTATTCCTTCCCTAGATGTACACCAGGTTTCGATACACTGGATTTCACTCATCGAGGCGCCTCAGCTTTCCGACCTACTACTGCAAAAGTCCAATATGACAGAGCTCTTGATCGGGATGGGAAAACATCCGCCCAAGATGTCGTAACCGGCCTTATCAGGAGGGCTCTCATATTTATCTGCCTCCTCTGGCATCTTCCTCGAAAAAAAGCGGGTACAGCCTATATAATTCTCTTCATGATACAATGATGCGCTGGCGCGACATATATTTGGGTGTGTGAATCTTAGAGTCTCTCGACGCGGGAACCGATTCGAGAGATGCGAATATCAAATTCGACCAGAATAATCGAGTTAGCATAGTCTAGACAGTAGTACGCGTTATTCTGGGACCCGAATCGAGACCCACATCTTAGCATCAAGGCCGCGAACGTTGAGATAAGGCCACTTGCTGGTAACACTAGTGGAAGGGCATACCCGTGCGCTGTTGAGATCGCAGCCTCTACGTCGAGTGTCGAGCAGACAATACCTAGGTACCTAGGTATGATGATGTTGGTGGGAGATATCATCGCATAAGTAACGGCAGGATCTGGAGCTATTTGTGTGTA